CCCCAGCGGCCAAAAACACTATTTATTTAAATTTATATACATGATTGTCCGAGAACACGATAACTTGAGTAATTTTGGCCCGGTTTTTATTAAATTTGCCATGAATGTGGGGAGCTGAAAAAACCTGGATGAACTCACGAACCAGCAAGATCGGGTCATTGGAACGGGGTTTTATGGGGGTTTTAAGTTTTCCAAAAATTGTTTTTTTCTAGCTTTTACCTTTGAAACATGAAAATGCCAGATTTTCATTACAGCTATCGTGTAGAGCTTGAAAACAAACAATGTTTATTGTTATTGTGTATTGTTATGGAGGAAAAAACTTTTTAAGTTTGTTTTGATATATTTTGATAAAAGAAATTTGTTCATCCTATATTACTACTTTTCTCCTACCCCGTAGTAGAAAACTCGTTAATTCTAATGTAATTGACATATTCTAAGGTTATTGTCATATTTAATGGGGAATAAATATGACTTTTTCATGGGAATTCACTTAGTCTACAGGTTTGCTGTGGCGGGGATATTTTCAAAAATTACAGGTCGGTCTACTGCACTTCAAAAAATTAGAACTCTCGTCCATTTTTGTGAAGTACTGTACTGCATTCCTGAGCAAGCCAATGCTGTATCTATTGAAATCAAGGGATCGTGCTCTCGTATTGTTCTTAATTTAATCGTATTAGAAATGAGGCGAATCGTTTAGTACCATCCTTGTTGGTTATATATATGTCCTTTTATGTTGGTATTTATGTATATGCCGAAATAGAGTCTGAATTAGAATCAGATTTTCTAAATCACAGGCAACACCAGAAAACTGTTATCTTATAATTAAACTCAAAGATACGTACCATCGAACAAATTTACAAGAAAAATAACTTAAATAACTATCCAACCATTCCAGGCATATTTGTAACAACTATAGCTAAATTAAATACCAAATCCCAGATGAAATAGTTACCGTTATCTGAGTTGAAAAAAACAAAATATGTTCATAATCATCCAAAGAATACAAACAATGTTTCAAATGCCATAGCAATTTATGCATCACTGTGCAATTAATCTATTTTGACTGATAGTAAATTGAATCAACTAAGAGCATTGTATGGTTAATAATGATTAAGGATGGTAAACAATTTAATTGAAACTACAACAAATCATTTCTTAACATATACCGGTACCTACTATTTTGTGAAAGTAAATATGCTGAAGTTCTTGCTTAAAAAGGTTTATACCGTCTTAAATATATATAGGGTTATAATTGGGGAAATTTTTAAAACAATTAAATAGTGGCCAGGAATGGTAATTCCTAAGATAATTTCCTAAGCTGCGGATTAAAGTATTCTGTAATAATCTGAGATTTACGTTCTACCCCAGCATATCAACCAATAATTTAGCCCTGACCAAACAAGAGCATGACTTCCAGTTATGCAATTCTAACTTTGTTCATATGACTTTTCCATATCAAATTTAAATATAAGATAGCTCAAGAGGGCCTTGGAATTGTGGTTTGTAGTAGGTGATTTCCAAGCGCTGCCATTTTGCCATTTTGCTGCATAATATTTCCGCCGAAGACAATTATCACTTTCACTGGGGCTCGACTATTTGGTGCACAATCCACCAAGGCCTTTCCCAGACTGTCCAACGCCTCACAACTCTATAGCCTACAACTGTTCTAGATTATTCATTCAGGATTCATGTATTAGTTGTCAAGTAGTGATAGAGGAGAAATTCAATCTTTTTATTCTATGTGATTAAAATATCAAGTTTATTTTTATGATATGCCAGGACTGAACACATTGTCTAGAATCAAGTTGAAAGATAAGTCAGGCTTCACTCAATGCTAGTTGGAAGTGAAATAGTTACGGGTTAGTCTGTGCAATTTAAGATGGGTAGTATGGATTGCTTCCTTATTAATGGTGAATTAATCTTTTCATCAGTTCTTTCCACTGATTGATATAGTTGGGGTTGTTTTGTAATAATGGGTATTCAGGCCCAGATTCGAAGCTCTGACTTAATCGTACTTTAGAAACAGACTTAATCGTAAAAATATCCCTTTCAGTTAAGATTTGTTTCTCCAAACGTGTCTGTAGACCAATAAATGGACTCATTATTGTATACCTACAATTACCTCCCAGCCAATATTACTGTGCAATTATAATACGATTTGGAAACTAAAGAATGCTACAGTAAGTTGAATTCCAAATTTTACAAACATTTAATTAGAAAATAGCTCTCTCCCACTTACAGAATAGTAATATGTGTCGAATGGTAGATCAAAATTTGTTTCTCACATCTAAAAAACCATACACCATACGAAACCTCATGTGGATTTGAGCTTCATCCTCGTGTAAAGCCACGGTTCATGTTCAAAGATTAGGTATGAGGCGAGGTCAAAGTTGGTTCTTATATACAGGGTGTCCCGTAACTCTCTGGTCATATGTATATAGTGTTATTGCTTAAGTCAAGACAAACACATTCACCATAGGAACATGGATCTGTGGTGCCAAGTTTTCCGTCTGTCTGTATTTATGTGTTTTTTACAAAAACATTAATTACTCCTAAGTCTACTTTTCTCAATGCGTGACCACTTTTCTCCCTTTAAACAATACTAAACAACGTAAAAGGGGTATAAGCATTGTATAAAGGGAGAAAATTGGTCACGCATTTAGAAAAGTAGACATTTGTCTGTTATTAGTTATCCATTCTTAACAAATAAGGTATCCAAACTACATAAAATTTACTAACTTTTTTTGTCTTTTGCAATTTTTTCGTTAAGTTAACGGTTTTCGTGAAATTTGGCATCAAATATATAAATGGCTGCCATTTTATAATAGTAATTTTTTTTACTATAATTTTAAATAAAGGTAGGTCTTAGCAAGATTAACATTTATGCAAAATCTCAACGCTGTATCTCAAACCGTTTAGGAGTTATTAATGTTTTTGTAAAAAACACATAAATACAGACAGACGGAAAACTTGGCCCCACAGACCCTTGTTCCTATGGTGAAATGTGTTTGTCTTGACCTAAGCAATAACGCTATATACATATGTCCAGAGAGTTACGGGACACCCTGTATATGCATTATAAAAATGAGGCGTCTGACTCTCTTTCCACTTCGCAAAGAACTGATGAACCAAATCAACTGACAATTGCACAAAGATAATCTACGTTCCTAAGACTATTGTAGACCTATTCCCGATTGAGTATCGTACTTGAACTTTAAAAGCTGAATTTGAGATGAAGATGGAGAGGTAAATATTGTTTGGCTTGACAACAAGAAGAACGAAACTACAATGTTTACAAACTTGTTTACATTTTCCAAATGCTACCCATTTATACTTGTATGGATGGAACAGCTGATTCAGATTAGAATGATACTTGAGATATGATATTTTGTACGTTTACTTATTCACTAGAGATACTATCGTCACAGAAACTACGTCATGTTTTACAACCACAGGTAATTAATTAACGACTTTTCCCCGAAGTATTTTTAAGACCAACTTTTTCTAGTTGTGGTTTGATCATGTTGTAAAGCACGAATGAAGCTAAAAGTTTGGTTATTCAAATTGTCTTGTTATATGACGTATGTTTACCAATAGCATCAACCCTCTCTGGCAGTTATTAAGTCGTTGACTCCATATAACTAAGAGATTTCCAAAACACATTGTTGAGGATTGAGCTAAGTTGTCATTAGCCGGCGAAGGAAGGAACTACGGTGACAGTAGCCATGACACGTACTTTCAACATTGAACACTTCGCCTTTGTTGTAGAAAACGTCTACTTATGATAATATACTTATAATAAACAAATTTTACTTAGTATAATATCTGTCGCTCGAATATGATCAAGTGTATTCGAATTCAGATCTAGATTGACAATTCGGCCCAGGGGGGGTTTTCAGATCGAACAAATTAATTTGAATTGTAAGAGTTGTAAAAGTAGTTTACTTCTAAAGGTTATTTTTTGCTATAAAGTAGATACATATTTTATTAGTGCTCATTGACAATTGGTGGCTACCGGAAAAACGTTTGTAATTTTAAGTTTTGTGGTTTATGATGTAAACATGGTGTGTAGATATTCCGGCACTCCCTTTAATGTTAATTGTAAATGCAAATGACAAACTGATTAGTGTTTTTTTTTTTTTTATAGCTTAAAGTATTTGGCGTTCAGGGAAGATTGGTCAACCAACTGTTGATAGGAGATAAGAAGCCCGGAGGACAACAAAGAACGCTCCAAATTCAACTTATATTATGTCGGAAACTACACTGTTTTATTAAATTATAAGGAAAATGGGTAGGTGCCTTGCTTAGACATGAGTTGCTGGTATATTTATTTCAATGGGAAACTTATGATTAGAAATAATTATTATACACACCTGGATATAACAGCATTTTACTACAGTACTACTAATTTAGAGGATTACATTTTTCCAGGTTCGAGTTTTTTTCCTTGCGATTTATATCATCCATCTAAACCTAAATAGTAGGTTAAACAGTTGGTTTAACATGAGCGAAACAATTCTTGTACAAATGATATGTACTATATATTCTACACGTTAGAATTAACGCACTTTGATTTAAAGTAACTTTCAGAAATGAGCCAGTTAATGGGGTCTTGACAGGGTTAATTCGTTTAAGTACTTTTAACAACTTTTAATTAACGTTTAACTACTTTAAAGGGTCACTGTCCGACCTTTCTTATGATTGAATTTGTATAGGAAAGCAAATAAAATTTCACAAGTTAAAGTATTTGGTTATGGAATATCTAAAACTCGAATTGCACTTGAAAGAAAATTTTGAGTTTTTTGGGACAATCTTTTTTGTGGTTTTGCTAACTACGAAATAACCTGTATCATCTATACTCGATCTGTTGAATGAAATTAGGGTCATTTGATGGACTAATTTTGAAAAGTCAAAAGCCGTGTTGAGGTCTACAGCTTGTTTGGGGGAGGGGAGGGCAGCGTCTAGTGCAGACCACTATCAGACCAACAGTCAGTGTGCGGCGCTTGTAGTGATAGTGTCCTGCTCTACCTTCAACTCCCAACACTAGACCGCGTGTGTGTCCTGCAGACGGTGAGTTACACCAATACTTTGTTATTGCATTATAATAAACTAAAAATCCGGCTCGAAGGACCAAAATTTTATTATTTGATAAATAGCTTTTATAATCGTGTATTGATACAAATAAATATTCACAACTATATTTAATTAACCAAATATTTGCCAAAGTTAAAAAAAAAACTGTCACACGAGAATGCATTACAATAACACACAACATATTACCAAGTCATTTTAATAGACACATACTCAAACGGGTAATAAGCTAGTAGTAAATGATAGGGCACTAGTCTTATGCTCGTTTGATACAAGTTAATGTAATGATAGTCAATTATTTTCGAAATTGTATACCTACACGTAACGAATACATAAAAACCTGAGAATTAATTCTGATAACATGCAGTACCTTACAATATTATCATAGTAGGTTTATAGTGTTTCAATTTAAAATTATGAATTTCAATTGTTATAAATGAACAATGCACCATAGTATATAAAAGAATAGATGTATTAGGTAGTCGATTATAGAATTATTTTACAAATTACGTTAGATTTGGCGTGAAAACTAATGTATTATTTCGACATTATGTATTATTCTACTCATATTTCGACATAAGATTAACCTTTTATCGTCATCACGGTCGCTTGAACTGATTGGCTTCTTAACAAGTGCAAAACACAACACGACGCTCGTTTTTTACATTCGGAAAGACAAAAAAATCTGTATTCACATAAAAAGTGAAAATATTCTGAATAAAAATAGGCCTATATTGATAACACAAGACAGTCCATCCTCACGTTAAAGTTGTCGCCAGTTTTAAAATAAAAATTTACGCAGTTGAAGTTAGCCACCAACTTACTTACTTACTACTTACTGCTTACTGCTGTTCTTCTCCTCCGCAGTCATCAAGATTGGGGGAGGCGTCATCTTTTTCTTTATCTTCTTGGTTATTGCTTGGTTTTTATTGTCTTCTGTTAAAAGTATGGTCATCCAGGAATTCATTCAAACTGTAGTAGGGTCGTTCGAGGAGATAGTTTTTCAGTTGGTTGGCAAATTTTTTCGGATCTGTAATAGCTTTTAGCCGATGTGGTAGTAAGTTGTAAAGTTTCATCCCAACTGATAATGTAAATCGCAGATTTTTGTCGAGCATGCGGACTTTAAGCTCATATGTAGACTTATTGTAAGTTATAGAATCTTTTATGCCATGTCAACTATCTCAGTAACAAAAATAAGTTGGAAAACATAATTTTAGTCATTTGCACAATCTGTGCCAACCACACAAATCCACAATCCACAATCTGTGTTCGTTGGCTTACAGAACTAGGTTGTTTTTAAATAAAATATTGGTGATAGCTGGTCCATAGAGTCTGTTTCGGTATCCAAAAGTCTCAATGCCTAACTCTTTTACCTGCAATTAAAAATGTATGAAACGTAATGAATTAGTTAAAATACTATGTGTCAAATACTAACTGACAGACTATATTTATTTCAACTACTTGCAACTACATTTCGTAGGTGTCTAATTTCATTAGAGACTATTCGTTCCTATTTTTCTCCTAGAATAATAGGAGAAAAACTTTAGGATTATAGGAGAAAATCGTTCCTATTTTTCTCCTATTTTCTGTTGTTAACGCTGCGCCGGGTCCCTCATTAAAGGACACATGGCATAGTTCAAGGGAGTACCTCATTCCTCAAAAGCATTTCTATATTTGAAATGTGCTCTCTATTAAACGTAAATAGTCGTAGATTTAGAAACATTATATTAGCTCTACTAATCCATTAAATGTACTCAAAGTTTAAAATAGGCAAATTATTTGACCAGGAAATTTCCTAAACGAGCACCATTTTTGTTTACTTATTTTGTTACAATCTTTTTTACAATTTTTTTAATGTTCATTTATGAGTGTATAATCTGGGTCCTAAAAGTAGGAGACGGACAATATGTCCGGTTGACCCTAATTATTGACATCTAGAGTTCCTTACTTGATCCACTTGTAGTTGTAATGGTATGTTAGTGACGGAGAAAATATGATTTGAGTGGGGTAGTGAGATTAGGTTGAATTCCCTAAACAGCTTCCTCTTGGAAACACCCTCACCACCAGGCTACGATCCTCAACAGAAAATCTGTCACTCGACAGTAACTTTTAATCGAATACTGTAGTTTTTATTTTCCAAATAGTATGTTTTATCCTCAACACGATCGTCCTACACTTTACTATAGTGTAAACTTTCCTTGTCATCAAAAATACTTTTCTTCATAACTCTAAGCTAAATAAAAAATAACTTCCTAACCAGCTTAGTACGTTATTAGTTGTAAACTCTCACATACAAGTGTTATTAGAAGTATTTTTGTATGTTTTCCATAAATAAAAATAAACAATACTACGTGGCCCACGTTCTAAAATTGTCAAGAAACTACCACAAGTGGAGCCAGGAGCCATCGACGTACGAAGGAAGGGACCTTGTTCGTCTAAGCGGGTAAGGAAGGATGTAATAGAGAGGCACGGAGTTCCAAAGGCAGCATGCGGTAACTTTAAAAGATCGGTCAATCGTTACCTTGCAAAGGAAGAATGCGTTGAGTTGACAATCCTAAATGATTAAGTCAGTCTTGCATACAACCCGATAAGTTTATAGCTCAGTAAAATTAACAGCAGTTTGAACTCTGCAGCTGACGACAATCCTTTCATCAACAACTATGCATTGTCAGATTTACTGTTTCTTGTTTAAACGTTGAAATTTTCAGTTTTTGTACATTTTTTTCTCTTTACTCTTCCTGGTCAATTAATTATCAATTATTATGTTCCTATATTTGGTTTTTGATTGGTAGCTTCGTTAATGTGTTAGTTATAGCTGAAGGATCGGATTAAAACAATAAAAAGTGTGTTTCCTTTATATCTTGGCATAGTAGTTAAAGCATTATAAATAATATACAAATAGTGTATTATTATAATTATTATTCCGAGCAAACTATATGTTTATATTTGTTGGACAACTAAATCACTGCACTTTTATTATCACTGACATTATGATATTACATTTAGTTTGAATGATTCAGATTTTACCAGATCGATTCAGAGTTTGGAAACAAAGATTATTTTACAAATTGAATAGGTTATGATAAAAAAATCCCATTTCTCTTCCCAAAAAGACAAATGTTAGTACTTGAGTCAATTACTTATTTAACGACGCTCAACCAAAGACTTTAACGATACTTAAGACAGAAGGCGTCCTTACTAGACCATATAGGGCCAATTATTTTGTGACTTTATGAGCTGTGAAAATTGTCATGAACCAGTTTTACGATTTATATCTTAGTTCCACTCATATGTAGTTAGTGCAACAATTTAAATTCACCATAAAACAGTATTGCACATATAAACCTTGTATGCAAATTCTTTCAGTAAGGTAACTTTGTTTGTCAAATCAGAATTTAACATTACCTTTTGGAAATTTACGAAATTTATTCGTAACTACGTTGTTTTAATATGTTAGTGACAATTTAATAGGGTCGAGTACGGTACAACGAAAACTAAAAGTAAAATTCTGGGATGGTTTGTTTTGCTCAAAAATATTTTCAAGGCTAGTGCTTGATGCATATTCTCTCATGTTTGGTGTAAAACATTACTTCAAAAACTGTATTTGCATCATTGTATTTACAACAAGACATTATTATTTATTTGAATATTTAATCCCATTTTAGCGTACTATGATAACTAACAGTCTCTATATTTAAAAAGTGCTATTTAACCTTAATTTACGTTTCTCCCCAAAATAGCTCGGAAGTTTAAACAGAACCCTAGTCCCCAAAAAACAAATACACCCCCGCCTCTTTTAGTTACATAGAATATTTATTTATTGTACCACTGCGAAAGAGTCGGTCTAGTGGTAAAGCGCGGGACTTCGTTCTCAAATCACGCGGTTCAAATCATGCCAAACTACCAATAACTTTTAGCTATGTAATAATGCTGTGACGTAGTCTTAAGTACCGAGGTCCCGGGTTCAATCCCCGACAAGTCACCAATGGATTTTATCTAAGTGATAATGCCGCAACCCCTAGGTCTAGCCTGAAGTAATGTGAAAAACAATTCCAGGCTCGTGCCTAGCGTCCTAGGACAAAAAAATGTTAAAACGAGCCTGGAAACCTAGTGTCCTAGGACGTGAAGGTCGGACACGAAAAAATTTATTACTTCTTCACACACGAGTTTTAATAATTAACTGAATAGGAATTTGTTAAATCGTTAAACTAGATAGAACTACTTTATCTATCTAAAATAACATTTACCAAGTGAAGTGTTAGTGTAGTTTCTCTCATCACCTCCCCCCTCTCACATGCCCCGTGCCGTTTGGGCGAGCAAGGGCCCGGAAGCCACTCTCGCATGCTAATCCTTTGCTTCTGCCCGAAGTGTACCTGAAAGTCGCTAGATGCAATCGTTGTCTCGATGGATGTATGATTTCTTGTTGGTTAGTTGCTCACAAACCATACTTGCAATTATGCTTACGTCTCGAATTATATACTACAAGTATTATCTGCATGCTTGCGTTCTGAATACAATAAATTGTCCACAAAGTTTTCTTTTAAATGTACTACTATTTTTTTTAAGAATAATCTTAAGGAGTAATAAAAAGCAAGGGAAGATTGTGGGAGAGGTTTAATCCTTCTTCACGATTAGAGGAATATGATTTATTTCTACGACATGCGCACACAAGAAATAATTATGTCTAACGAATTTAAACTTATTGTAGAAATATGCTATTTTTGACTGCTCAAATTTCAAAAACAAATACAACAACAATATAATACAATATCAGCATAACAAATACAAGAAAACTATTTTTTTGCGTCCCCAGGCAAAAACTATACGTTACTAATACCCCCAGAAATGTGTTTGCCTATTTTACTTCTAAAAATTTAACATCTTACCTCCTATTATATTAAAATCAATCCACAATGCGACATAGATGTTGACATTGGTTCCGATTCATAATTATTTATTCAATAAACATCTCTTAAAAC